CCTCTCCGTGCGACCCTCCTCGCCGTGCCACCCCCTCGGGGGCCGCAGGACATGTGGCACGCCGCGAGGCTCGGCTGCGGCGAGTTCAAGGATTACTGGCAGTTCTGGAACTGCGTGGACTGGATCTGCATCATGCTCGGCCCCTGTCGGGGCGAGGGCGGGCTGGTCAGAGGAGGCAGAGGTGCCGATACAGCTGCGCGTCCCTCGTTTGCCGCCTTTGTGGGCCTCCTGGGAGGCCTTCGTTGCCGCGGCTGGACTCGCCTCGAAGTCCTGGTCAGAAAACACGCCAGGTGGTCCGAGGAGTAGCGGCATTGCCACCTTTCGGTTTCCCCAGCTGGAGCGGCTTCAGGGGCGATGAGCGGAGAAGGGTGCGGGGAGAACAGCAGGAGGAGGAGGAGGCGGAGGAGGAGGAGGTGGAGGAGGAGGAGGAGGAGGAAGAGGAAAAGGAGGAGGGGGATGACCAGTGTAAACCCACGAGTCATCAACGATGTTGGAATACACCCTCCCTCCAAGCTGCCTCTTCATAGGCCCCGACAACGGTTCCTTTCCACTGAGGGAAGCGCACCGTTGGGAGACAACCGTGTGAGAGTTATGAAGCGCGCCGAGCAACATCCTCAAACCTTCAACACCACGGGCCAACTTGACTGTTGCGTCTGAGCAGTTCTGAATTGTGCCAGAAGCCATTCATGGGACTCCAATGCGGCGAACCAGCGTAACTTTAACGCCCTGGCGCTCCTGACTCGTTCCCAAACACAATTTCTGGTACGTTAGCCATGAGAGCCATTGGCACTCTTTGAGTTTTTTGGAAGCGAATGTGCGCGGTGCTAAGGCGAGAACCACATTTGAAAAGGAACCGCTTCCACTCCGTGAAACTCTTGCATTTTTAAAACGATTGTGCGCGGCCTTACGGCAAGAACCACATTTTGAAAAGGAGCCGCCCTCAATCCGTGAAGCTGATGCTATTTTGTTGAACGAATGTGCGCGGCGCTCAGGCGAGAACCACATGTTGAAACCGAGCCGCCCTAAATTCGTGAAACCCTTGCCATTTTTTAGCAATAACTTGCACGGCGCTAAGGCGCTAGCCACGTTTTGTCAACGACCTGTCTTCAATTCGTGAAGCTCTTGCAACATTTCAAACGAATGTGCGCTGTGCTAAGGCGAGATCCACATTTTGAAAACGACTCGCCCTCCATTTGTTAAATTGTTGCCAGCTTCGAAGCTTCAGGCTCATAATTGATAAGGAAGTCTTATGCGAAACGCCTGGCCCGCCCTTCCGACTGGCCTCGGGGTGCGACACGGAAGGGTTATTCATAAGGAAGAAGAATGGAGGAGGAGGAGGAGGAGGAGGAGGAGGAGGAGGAGGAGGAGGAGGAGGAGGAGGAGGAGGGAGGAGGAGGAGGAGGAGGAGGAGGAGGAGGAGGAGGAGGAGGAGGAGGAGGAGGAGGAGGAGGAGGAGGAGGAGGATGAGGAGAATCGGGCGCCAGCGGCCGGAAGTTCGCTTGAGCTGCCGCCGCTGGCAGTTCAGCGAACACTCAGTCTTCATGTCTGCCTGGCTGCGGGAAGCCTCCTCCGCCCTCCCGCCCCTTGTTTCCCCTCCTTTTCTTTGTTTTCCGTAGCGGTTTGGAACGTGCCCGCCTGTGGCGGAAATCGTGCACAGGGAGAGGGAAAGGAGGTGGGACAGTGCACGAACACAGGCGTCACTCCTGTGGCGTTGCCTCGATCCACCCCCCTCTCCAGCTGCACCTCCTCTTCTCCCCCCCTGCCCCTGCTCCTTCTCGCCCCGTGCCTTCTCTTCTCCCCCCAGTACCCCCCCTCCAGTACGGACCCCACGGCCCGACCTCACACTGAAGCCTTACTCCCGTGGGCCACGGCCCCGCCCGTGCTGCCCTCACGGGCGTGCCTCTACCCGCCTCAGATAGCAGATGGGCGCTCGCTCACTCTCTCGCTCCCCCCGCTCCCCCTCCTCTCTCCTCTCTTTCTCGCCCTCCCCCCTCTTTCGGCTTCTAGCTCCCCAGGCGTCCTCGTGCTGTTCCTATTCCCGCCCCGCCTCCTCCTACTACTCCCTCTACTCCTCCTGCTGCTCCTCCTGTCCTTGCTCCTCCTGTCCTGGGCGCAGCAGAGGGGCGCCTCTCGGCAGCGCGGGATGGGAGGCATCTCGCTGATCACCATGTGGACCGCGTGCCCCCTCCCGCCCCCCCGCGCCCGCGCCGCCTTCCATCGCCGCTGCCAGTCCCTTGGGGGGGGGGCGCCCATGGCACGCCGACACCGGTCCCTCCATCTGGAGGTGTCTTTCTCCATTCTGGAGGTTTCCAGATTGCGAAGGCCTGGCGGCCGGTGCCGCCGACCCTGAAGAGGACCACCACGTCGGCGACGAAGCGGGCGGAGACGGAGGCCGTGGAAGATGATGATGATGATGATGATGATGATGATGATGATGATGATGATGATGATGATGATGAGGAGGAGGAGGAGGAGGAGGAGGAGGAGGAGGAAGGAGGAGGAGGAGGAGGAGGAGGAGGAGGAGGAGGAGGAGGAGGAGGAGGAGGAGGAGGAGGAGGAGGGAGGAGGAGGAGGAGGAGGAGGAGGAGGAGGAGGAGGAGGAGGAGGAGGAGGAGAGGAGGAGGAGGAGGAGGAGGAGGAGGAGGAGGAGGAGGAGGAGGAGGAGGAGGAGGAGGAGGAGGAGGAGGAGGAGGAGGAGGAGGAGGAGGAGGAGGGAGGAGGAGGAGGAGGAGGAGGAGGAGGAGGAGGAGGAGGAGGAGGAGGGAGGAGGTGGTGGTGGTGGTGGTGGTGGAGGAGGAGGAGGAGGAGGTGGAGGAGGAGGAGGAGGAGCAGGAGGAGGAGGAGGATGATGATGGGAGGAGGAGGAGGTTGGAGCAGGAGGGGGAGGAGGAGGGGAGGAGGAGGAGGAGGAGGGAGGAGGAGGAGGAGGAGGAGGAGGAGGAGGAGGAGGAGGAGGAGGAGGAGAGAGGAGGAGGAGAGGAGGAGGAGGAGGAGGAGGAGGGAGGAGGAGGAGGAGAGGAGGAGGGGAGGAGTTGGAGGAGGAGGTGGAGGAGGAGGAGGAGGAGGAGCAGGAGGGTGGCCGAAAGAGAGGGCTCCGGCGGCGCCAGAAAGCCTCGATCCTCGAGCCTGGGGTTCGGAGGCCGCAGAGTGAGCCAGGAGGAGGAGGAGGAGGAAGAGAGAGGAGGAGGAGGAGGAGGGGGAGGAGGAAGGAAGGAGGAGGAGGAGAGGAGGAGGAGGAGGAGGAGGAGGGAGGAGGAGGAGGAGGAGGAGGAGGAGGAGGAGGAGGAGGAGGAGGAGGAGGAGGAGGAGGAGAGGAGAGGAGGAGGAGGAGGAGGAGGAGGAGGAGGAGGAGGAGGAGGAGGAGGAGGAGGAGGGGGAGGGGGAGTTGTTCTACATGTTCAGTCTTTTGTCATTTTTGGCCTCGAGGGGCCATCTTGGGAACCGGGAAGCCGCGCAGGGTTCTGGAACCGCGCGTGGACTGCGCCGGACGCGCGGGGCGTGAAAGCGTATGGAGGTGGCTTTCTCCATTCTGGAGGTTTCCGGATTTTCTTCACAGTAAGGTGCTTTTCCTTCCCTTTGGAGGTCCTCTGAGGTCACGCATCTGTCTTGGGAAGGTGAGAGGGGCGGATGAGCAGGATGCGCGAGGGACTTCTGGGGTAGTGTCCTCTTCGCGTTAGATCTTGCGGTGGCGCAGATTGCCATTTGGTAGTTCCTAGACCTCCATAAGCCGTCTCAGGACTGTTGAGAAGCCATTCCTCTTCCTCCTGCTCGTCATTCCCGCGCTGGGGCACAGAAGACGCCGAAGAGCCACGCCCCCCAGGTGCTGGGCGGCGATGCAGGCCGAAGGGATGAGGGCGATCCTGGACGAGGACAGGGCCCTGCCGTGCAACTCTCGGGGGCGTGCGGCATGGGAGGTGGGGAAGACGTGCGTAGGATCCTCTGCCATATTACAGTGGAGACCCACGCCAAGAAAAACACCCTGCTTGCCTCCAGGGTGCCCAGGGTTTCTTGGGTGTCGGTGGTTTTGATATTATGGAAAGCGTGGCGTTCCCACACCAGAAATCAGTGGACGTCCTGGGGTTTCAGGGCTGGGTTTCTTGTGGACGGCTTCTTGTGGTCGAGCCCCTACTGTATGTCCATATGCGGAGGGGCAGATCGGAGGAGGAGGAGGAGGAGGAGGAAGAGGAGTAGGAGCAGGAGGAGGAGGAGGAGGAGGAGGAGGAGGAGGAGGAGGAGGAGGATGAGGATGATGGATGATGATGATGATGATGATGATGATGATGATGATGATGATGATGATGATGATGATGATGATGATGATGATGATGATGATGATGATGATGATGATGATGAGAGGAGGAGGAGGAGGAGGAGGAGGAGGAGGAGGAGGAGGGAGGAGGAGGAGGAGGAGGAGGAGGAGGAGGTGGAGGAGGAGGAGGAGGAGGAGGAGGAGTTGGGAGGAGGAGGAGGAGGAGGAGGAGGAGGAGGAGGAGGAGGAGGAGGAGGAGGAGGGGGACCTGCCTACCCGCAGCGGCGGGCAGCCATCCACACCCGCCGCCCCCCCGAGCTTTCGGGACCCGACCCCGCGGCAGCGAACGTGGAGCCCAGCATGGGGGTATGGCTGGAGTGCGGCAGGCGGTCACGGGGCCTCTCGGGGGCGAGGGCCTCGGGCTGGGCCTCGAGGGCTCTCGGAGGCCCTCGGGGGCGCCGCGGAGGACCTCGGGGGACCTTGGAGGACCTCGGCTCTGGCGCAGCGGCATCGTGGTCTCCGGCAGATGACACGCGCGCGTGTGAGGCAGAGCCTTTGCGCCTCGTCAGCCCTCGTCCTCAGCCTGAGCCTTTCCTTGTCCGCCAGGCTCCCGTGCAGCGACCTCCGTGCTGTACGGTCATCTGCCACTCGTTGTGAGTGCCTGGTGCTCCGAACGGAGCTGCGAAGTAGAGGGTGCGAGCGCAAGATGCCGTTTACCCCCAGGTTCACGAATACGCTCAAAGACTCGTAGGTTGCACTGCGTGGGTGAGAGAAAGGGAGAGCGAGCCCTCCCTTGTCCGTCCACGACAGGTTAACGTCCTTCCCCCCCTTTTATCCTCCATCCGTTATCCCCCATCCCCCGAATCCCACCAATCTTCCTTCCTTCCTTCGCGTTGCTTTCTTGCGCTTCCCTCCTTGCTGTCCAATTGTCCTTACCCCCGTCATCCTCGGAGTGGGTCGCGTGGTGGCGTGGCCGGCTCGTGTGGTCCAGCGAGCCAGGCCCTGGACTCACGCGGGGACGCCCGTGTGGCAGTGAGGCCGCCGCTTCCTCCATCGACAAAGGGGGGACGCGGTGGCCCCAGCGCGCTGCGCACTGAAGTGCTACGCAGCAGCGGCCCAGAAGAGTACTCCTCAGAGGAGACAAAGGTACTCATTCAAGCAGTGGCGAAGCGTCCTGGTGTGCCTATAGGCCTACCAAACAATGTCCTAAGAACCTTTTTTGGTTTCCACGAAGTGTTCTTAGAACATTTCTGGCTGGGACTGTCTTGTTTCATCACACCGGGCTAATGTTCTAAGAACATTGTCTTTGTTATTAGAACATCTTTGGGTTCCAAGAACATGTCGTGGTAGGCCTATAGGAATGCCGGGACGGTCGGTCCCTGCTCAAAAGGTACCCATACCTCTACCCTTCGCCCCTTTGCCTCTTTTTGGGCCTCCTGGGAGGCCCTCGTCGCCACCGCTGCATTCGCTTCGAAATTCTGGTCAGAACGCACCCCGGGAGAGGTCCGGGGAGTAGCGGTATCGGTACCTTTCGGTGTCCCTGGCTCCCGATGAAGTCGTTGCAAGTCAAGATGGTGCCTGGTGCAGTCCTGGGTGTGTGGAGGCGTTTTCATGGAAACGGCTCGCGATAGAAATATAGGTTGTCTATTGCACCATCCCGCAGCTGCGGGTAAGTGAGGGGGGAGCGGGGACGCCGGCAGTCTGCGAGGCTCTGAAGAAGCCCGCCGCAGGCGTCGATTTTTTCGTTAATGCAACGTGTTTGGGTCGCGGGTGGGTCGCGGGTGGGTCGCGAGTGGGTCGCGGGTGGGTCGCGGGTTGGGTCGCGGGGCGGGTCGCGGGGTGAGTCGCGGGCGGGTCGCGGGCGAGGGCGACGACAGCAACAACAGAAATGCAACATCAACGCAACACAACCACCACCAACAGCAACAACAACCACAACAACACCACCACCAACAACACCGCCAACACCACCAACACCAACACCAACACCACCAACACCAACACCAACAACCCTCCGTCACGCAGAACCTCACTTCAGCCACGCGTCCAGAGACAATGGATTACCGTTCTAATCCCTCACTCTGATTTTGGGTTTCCCTGCAGGTTGGCGTTGAGTACCCACTGCGGGTCGAATGTTGGCTCGTACTGTTCAGCCCACATGAAATCAACTTGTCCTTTTCGGGTGAATGCACGCATCCCTGGTTTTTAGTCAAACTTGGTCGACGTCTTGGGTAAGGGGAGGGGGCTTCAGTCATCCCCTCGACACGCGCCAGTTGTGGCCGAGATTTCCATTGGATTTGTGATGTCCCTGCGCTGGGCGATGCTACAACTTAGGCTGCACCGTTCGGACTGCGTTTGAGTGGGCCTCTCGAGCAACCTTGCGTGAGTATTGGCTGCGGGGAGTGCACACATCCTTTGTCCAATCGAGGTGGTGCTGACATGTTCTTCAAAGGGTGAGCCTGGTGCTCTTATTTGCTTCGTATCTCAAGCGTTGAAACGCGGCGTTTCGCAGGATGGGAAGCTGAATGTGGACGTCATGGGTCTCGAAGAGGCCTCCGTGGAAACCATCATGCAAGAGGTGTGCGCTCCAGTTCGCGCTCGGGGGGGTCAGGCAGGGAGTCTGGTGCCACAAGAGGTGATGACATGCATGACTGGATGAAGGCTTGAGTGTTGCGAGCCGCAACGACGGCGGGCGGAGCTATTCATAATGGTTTCGATGCTCTGGTGAACTATGCAGCGGACAGGGTAATACACGTTGGTAACGATGGTGGTGATGTGGGCCATGCTGCTCATATTGTGTACAACCTTGCCATTTCCCAGTTCGTTCGGCAAGATGGAGTCGGTTTCACGTTGTTGTCTGGCGCGTGTTCGATCATGTCGAAGCTCATCCAACCACATCTTTCGCGGTTGGCTGGGATGGAAGGGTTGTGTATGCGTGCGTGCGTGCGTGCGTGCGTGCGTGCGTGCATGCGCGTGTGTGTGTGTGTGTGTGTGTGTGTGTGTGTGTGTGTGTGTGTGTGTGTATGCGTGTGCGCGCATTGTGGTATATGCAGTTGCCGCATGCGTGTTTGTGTTATTTGATTCGACATAAGCTATTGTATCATGGGGCCATGGGTTTTCCAACCACTACGTCTTCGTTGTGACCACCTTTGTGCTGAACTCAGCGATGCCAGTTGATTGATACTCGTCGTCGTAGTCGTCTTAGTGGTAGTGGGTAGTGGTGGTAGCACGGTGTTCGAGTCATTGGCAGCATTCGAATCAGTAATAGTAGTAACAGCGTCAGGAATTGTGCACATCAGTGGTTTTTGAACCGCGATCAGAGCACGGCCATTACCAGTGAGAAGTAATAGGGCGAGGCGCTCGGGGACTAGTAGACCAAGGAGGATAATGAGAAAGATGGACTGTACGGGGAAGGTCAGGCACTTATTATGATGAGGAGCTGGCTCGGCCGAGTGGATAGCGCAAGAGGAGTATGATGACAAGGGAGAGGTAACAGTGATGATGGCGATGTTGGTGGCGATGTGTATTTCTCGAGCAGTGCTTGCACCTGGGGGCCCTTGTTACTAGGGAGCTGGGCCTCTCTGTCGGTCTGACGGCTAGGTCGCCGCCGTCGCCGCCCCGTGGTTGCCTCGTCGCAGCCCGTCGTCTGGGCCTGTCTGTCTGTCGGTCTGGCTGCTGTGTCGCCGCCGTCGCCATCCCGTGGCCGCCGCATCGCCGCGGCTAGGTCGCCGCCGTCGCCGCCCCGTGGTTGCCTCGTCGCCGCCCGTCGTCTGGGCCTGTCTGTCTGTCGGTCTGGCGGCCGTGTCGCCGCCGTCGCCACCCCGTGGCCGCCGCATCGCCGCGGCTATGTTGGCGCCGTCGCCGCCCCCGTCGCCGCCCCGTCGCCGCCCCGTCGCCCGGGCCTGCCTGTCGGTCTGGCGGCTATGTTGCCGCCGTCGCTGCCTCGTCGCCGCTTCGTCGCCGCTTGCATGTCTTTCACCACCCACCAAACCACCCCAACCCAACCCGAAGGCTCAGATTTACCCTCGATTTCCAGTGGGGGGGGGGTCGGGAAACATCGAAAAAACACGTGTGGAACCCTTACCCCCCCAACCCGAAATTCGGGTCTTCGGGTTGGGTTGGGGTGGTCTGGTAGGTAGTCAGTCTTCTCCTTCCTAAAAAAAAATGAGATCCCCCCCATCCCCCGACGTGTCCGCACCCCCAGGGGATTTGCAACTCACAGTTTGGTTGCGCCCCCAGGGTTTGTTCTCAATTTGAACTCTTACCATCCCAGCACAGCCGGACACCCCCCCATCTTTTGTGTAAGCACGCTGGTGGAATCACAATTTCCAATTCGCAACAACTTTTCGCGAGCTGCCATCGCTATTGCCGCCGCATGTGTTTCGCAAACCAAGTTGCGGGTGCGCGTGTGGGATCACTTCTCGAGCGGTGGAGTTGATAATTTCAAGTTCAGCAATATGAATTGCGCTGTATAGAAATTCCTCTCTAAAAAAGAAGTAGGACTTGCCGCCCCACTCCCGGGGTTATCCCTACCCCGTGGAAGTGTGCAATGTACATATGATGCACCCCATCGTTCATTCCGTTTTTGATTTCATACCAGCCCAGCCACTCCCGTATCGCCCCCCCCACATCGATGCTAAATGCTATTATGCGCGCGCGCTAGTTTGCCAACGGTCGTCCACGCTCCAGAATCCTTTACCCAAAACGGACAGAGTCCAAACGCGCGCCTCGCCGCGCGCGCATGCCAAGCATTTTTCAACAACCGTCGGTTTCGTAAGGATTTCCAGATCGAGTGTCCCGAAAGCACCTAAAACACCAGCGGTTTTGCAACGTTTTTTTGTCAAACAAGTCTGCGCGCGCTTTGGCAAGTTCTTACGCACCATCTGTTTTTATTCACAATTTCCATCCACTACGACCAAACGGGCCTCTGTCGCGCGCGCTCGTGTCGGAATCATTCGAACGCCCTTGCGCGCGTCACCATGCGGGCTACTCGCGCGCGTCGGCCGCGCGCGCATGTCGAAATCCTTCCAAAACGTTCGTCGCCGACACGTGGACACCATCATCGTCATCGGCGCGATCAGCATTGGCGCCGTCATTGGCCTTGCCGTCGTCAACGTTATCCTCGTCACCAGCATCGCTACTATCATCATCGTGGCTGCCGTTTTCGCAGTCGCCATCGTGGCGCGCCCGCCCGAATCACCGACTCGCACTGAAGTGCCAGCGCGTCAACGCGGCATGCGAGACGCGCTGGGCAGTGCCCAGAGGTCACCGCCACCGCGGCCGCGTCGGTCGAGCCAGACGGGCTGGTCGCTCTGCACGCGAGCCTGCGCGCGCGAGCGCGGCAGCAGCGATGCGGCAACCGTCTACAAGCAGTCGTCGACATCGCCGCCGCAGGGTTTCTCAAGCCAAACTGCGGGTGGGTGTGCGGGGCCACTGCGCGAGCGGCGGAGTTGGCAACCTCAAGTTCGGCGGGGTGAGTCGCATCACGTATACTGCGACGCATAGATTGCGCCACGTGGGTTTGCACCACATTTTTTTTGCGAGGGACGCACGATTTGGGGCCCACGCTGGCGAATGCTATCTACAGGTGAACAAGAAGACACATACAAAAATGAATACATGTATGCATTTGAATGCGGCTACCGGGGGCTTTGGAACCGAAGCAGGATCAATTTTTTGACAGGCAGGAGTGGGACTTCGCAGTGCTTGTGCATCGTTATTACCTAACAGCTCTTGCTGATAGGTTTCTAG